AGAGAGAGAGAGAGAGAGAAGGAGGAGGAGAGGGAAGGGGATAAAAGGGGAAAATAGTATAGGTGGAAAATATAATAACACGAAACGGACGGATAACACTTAAGACAAAATTTATAGTTGGCCCAGTAATATTCAAGTAATTCTTTTAAGAGTGATTTGAAAATAGGGGACTCTTGTTGTCTAGAGGTTACTGTGTTCACATCTCTTTCAATAGGTCTCGGGTTCGAAACCAGACTGCGACGAACATTTTATTCTCTAAAATTTTCTCCTTTCACCTCCTTTCCTGCACTCTATATTATGTACTGTCGTCTGCTTTTGTCTCCACTTTCTCCTTTGCCCCCGCCTCTGGGTTCCTGTTGACTCTTCCTGCAGCCATTCTAATGTTATTCCTTAGCTCCTTCTTACTGCTGTCTTTCAGCCACACACCTGATCTTATGGAAGGTAAGATCTAACACCTCGCCTTCTCGGATGAAAAATTGTTCCCGCATGCGATCCGGACATTGGGGATCGCTTTAAATTGTTAGTGAGAAAACTTCCTGGGCCTTCGGCATATTGTTTTAAGGTGACCAGTTCCTCTCCACGCCGCCTTTACTTCCCGAACTCGAAGTCAGGTACCCATTACCGTTGGGTGGGCAGGAAGGGGCGACAAAAAATCTGTGTCCGAACCGAGGCTCGAACCCGGACTTTCCGCTTCGGAGACGAGCGCACTAACCGCTCCGCCACGCGTCCTCGGATGAGTGCGAAATTCTCGGAGTTCCTGCGTGCAAGTTGCCCACGTTAAAGATCCCATGATGGTCCTAAATTCGATAATTCCTATGACCTTATGCAGTTGCAAGCGACGTAAAACACTTACCAAAAAAATCTGAAGAGAGAAAGTTCAGTGTATTGCAAAAAAACAACAACAACCTGTGTAACAAGTGAGATCTGCGGTTAACCAGCTGTTATATATATATAGTAATAACACTTAAATAACAGTTTAATACTTGGAAAAAGGGTTCAGTTCCAATGCAGAAGCGTCCCTTCTTACATTACTGTTGCAAATGACTTGAATTCGCGGATTTGTTTTGAAATTGAAGTTCAGTAACGCGCGAGAAAAAATAAAAACAAAACAAAACAACAATAACAACAACAACAACAACAACAACAACAACAACAACAACCACAACAACAACAACACAACCTGGTGCACTGTCGTTTATAACTTGTACTATGTTCTTAAAAGATAAAATGTGCTAAATGGACCCCCATGTGTGAAACTAATTGCTTGCGCTTGGGTCATCGATTTTAACAGCTTTCATACGTCCAGTTTGGAATGATAGTTTGACTGTTACTATATAAGACTTTAACACTCCGTACCTTTAGCTGAATATAACCTTCTCCTTCTCCTTCTTTTCCTTCTCCTTCTTCTTCTCTTTCTTCTCCTTCTCCTTCTCCTTCTTCTCCTTCTCCTTCTTCTTCTTCTTCTTCTTCTTCTTCTTC